CTATTTTTGTATGATAATTATGGGTTTTGTATTTTATTTTAATAGAAGTTGATGTTGCTTTTGCAATTATCCATCAATTTTTTAAAATTAAACACTATCTACAGATTTGCATCGAAGCGTTTCTTATGATAGTGATTTTAATCACTGTCAGATTAAATCTATACTGGACCCTACTATGCAATGTCTCCACTATGCCGCGACCTCACTGTGCTACCGTTTTATATATGAAGTGAATTGTAAAAATTAAAATAATATATATAAAGAAACACATATTTTGAATTTAACAAATAATTTTTTTAATTTGTAACCCGATGTCAGTCAATTATTTGTACTATTATCTAATAATTTCTATTATAAAATATAATACTAATATAAATAAACTTAATTTTTAAAATATATACAAATTATATTCTTTTTTTTTTTTTGATAAATCCATTCTTATATTTTGCTCTAAACATAAAGAAATATATATTTACTAAAACATTTTTTTTAAATTTCACTGTGAAAATTACAACACAATGTGTTAAATATAAATTTCATACTAAATTTAATTTCTAAAATATATATTTATTAGTGTATTATACTCATATATCATAAAACTATTAATTAGGGGATATAATTAAGAAAATATAAGTTTTTTTTTTTAATAGCCTTTATTAGAATAATAATTAGCTCAACAATTATAAGCAAAAGTAAAAAGTATAACAGTCATAATATTATGTTATAACGGTACAACAAATGCAGCAATAATTGTTAGTATATTCTAAATTAGAAAAATTAAACATTATTTAAAAACATTGTTAACAGAGCCTTTTATATCAAACTGAAAAATTATTAAATTAAAATTTTTAATTGAAAGAAAGGAAGAGAGAAGTAAAGAAGGGTAGGTAGAAGTCGCAAGACAATCAGATGTTTTGTTATCTAATATACTGGCGTGCCCTAGCACCCAGTGAAAAACAATAGATTTATTTTGGGATCGCATTAAGGGGATAAGTGATCTAATAACAAAAATGTAGGGAGAAATATAAGAGCAAAAAGAATTAGAAATGATGGCAAATAGGCAAGATAGAGAATAAAAAAAAATAGCAAAGTCAATAATTGAAGTAGAAGATATAAAAATGAGAGCATTAACGTTGGCAACGCATTCAGTGGTAAAAGAAAAAGAAGGGTGGAGTACAGCTGAGTATGAAATATTAAGTTCAGGAATAAAGATAGAACGACCAGCCGAATTAGTTGATACAGGAAGTTGCAGGAATAGAACAGAAGATTTAAGGAGAGAAGCCAAGGAAACACGTTGAAGTATATACTATGGGAGACTAGAAGACAATCAAATAAAAGTAATCTGAAGTGTGATTTGTAAATGTGACAGATCATGGAGAACAGGGAAGAACATACTGGGGCTAAAATTTGCAGCGATTTAGGCAAGTTGCACCAACAATTACTTAATTTAGAGTATAAGGAGAAAATATGATGGTTAAAGGTAGAGAGGTTTTTGGGAGAAATTTATTAGCAAGTAGGCGACAGTGAATTTAGAGGGGGGAGAGAAGCACTCAACAAAAATACTATGGTTCGGGATAGACTTAAGAACACTAACAATGTGCGCAAGCATGCGGATAAAAGAGAATTTAGTTTTTTCCTATTAGTGTAGGAAGCTGAAGATAATAAAAAAGAGGCGTATTCAATTTTAGTGCGGATAACGGATTTATAAATGAGAAGTAATGAGGAGGGATGAGAGCCCCAAGATGTACCAGTAATACAGAGTAAGAAATTTTCCCAGCGGGTAACAGACGAGAGGGAGATGAAATGGTTAGGTCAACCGCAGAATCCATTTGGAAAGTGCCTGTAAGGAGGGTGGGGAGTCCTGTATTGAGGATATAAAGATTGTAGGTAGAAATAACAAACGAAATAATGTTACCACGATGATTGGAAATTAGTGCCCCCAGGAGGGATAGTGACCGCCTATAATAGAATTACAAGAAACTAAAGAAAAAATGTTATCAATTAGTATAGAAGAAGGGTTGGAAGAGGGGGGAATGTAAATATACCAAATGGCAATGGAATTGGGTAAATTGGTAAACGCCTCGATACCGACAAGATCTATGGAATGATTTTTAATACAGGACTAATAGAAATAGGGTTAATGTGGATAATATGATGGGAGGCGATGGCTACGACGCCAAAACCGTCGATACCATCAGAGTGATTAATGTTGAACTGTAGAAGAGAAACTCGTTTGTTTGTAAGGAGACTAAAAGTACATTTATTGTTAGAGAGAAGAAAAAAAAGATCGTGCATTCTAGGGATTATACTTCTTACGTTCCATTAAAGAATGTTGAAAGAAGGATAGTTAGGGTTACTATTAAAACGTGTTATCATTGTCAGATAAAGGATAGTGGTTGTTAATTAATGGAGATTCGATAGTTGATTGAAGTATTGAAGGAGAAGAAATTAATTTAGGATCGCTCGCAAGTAGCTGAGCGATAAGTTGCGATAAGCAGGAAATCTAGTTGCGGTCATCAGAATTTATATTACGATTTTGTGACATATTTCAAAAAACTGCCATTAGGCGAAATTCGCCTGAACAGTCATTCAGTAAAGGAGGAAAGTGGGGGACTTGAATTTTATTACTTTTATTCTTATTTTGTTTATTTGTATATGTATTGGTAGAATGACTAAGGAAAGGAAAGGAAAGGAAGGAGAAGCTACGACTTCGACACTAGATATATTTGTATTTTTTACCACATCAGAAAAGGTAAAAGCTTTATTAACTAAACTGGAACGTTTGATCGAAGAGGTTTCAGAAAACGAAACATTGTTTGTGGCCATAATTTTTTTTTAATGTCCTTTTGCACAGACCATTCGCTGCAAAATCTACCCGCCGCAGAGTGGTTAAGTTTACAAAAAATGCACAAAGGAGGTGTGGTTAACTTAACGTTACAATTAGATTCAGTGTGGTCAAAGAGACCGCATTGACTGCAGCGCTCCTTATTGCGACAGAACTTGAGGATGTGACCAAAACGTAAACACTTGCGACATTGGACAGAAGAACGAATACTCGCGGAGAAACATCGATAATAACTTTGTAAATTGATAATTTTTGAGGAAGAATTGCTGACAAAAATTTAAGTTCAACTAAATTTGAGGATGTTATCCTTTTTTATATTAATGCATCTGAATGAAACAACTTTGACTGAACATTTATAACATTCCCAAAAATCTTCTTCAGAGATACTTTTGTCAAGTCGTATGATTCCAATACTATATAATAAAGTGCTAGAAATATTCGTAGAGTAGCCGTGTTCAGAATGAGAAGGGGAAGTGAGGCAATTGTTAGCGTTATTAAACGAATCAAATGTGATTTTAACACGCTTAGAATCGATAAGGTTTATGCTAAAAATACCAGGAAATAGTTTGGAAAAAGTTTTATCAAGCTTGACTGGGTGAAAATTGCCTAAGTTATTACCCCCAAATGCAGAAACAAGTACATTAAGGGGACCAGTGTAGTGTAATGGAAATCATTCAGAAACATTGAGTTGCCTGACTGTTGATATATTAGAAGAATCCACATAGAACGAGTTAATGTTTGAAGTTGGCGAACCGGGTGACGTCACTACAATGACTTTAGGTGAGCTACAATCCATGCTTTTTTTTTTTTTTTAACGACCGGCTTAGTTGTAGGCCGCCCTGCAACTACCGTTAGGTATTACTTCAGGGCGGCCCACTACAATCCATGCTGCTAGTTTGAGATTTGGGGTCATTATATTTTGGTTTATCGTCAGATTTAGATTTTTTGTTTAAAGGGCTAGTTAGAGATTTAGAACCTTGATTGTTCTTACCAGAATAACGAGAATTATCCTTGAAGATTAGTGGGTTGGAAGTTTGCAAAGTACTTTTACGGCGTAGTGGGGAGTGGTGCTGATCACCTCCTTCCGGATTAGGTCTGTATTGCATCCAAAGCTCCGGTGGGCGCTGTAAATGTGCCAAAAAGGCGAAACAATGGTTTCAAAACTGATAAAAACTATGAATAAGCGGAATAGTACTCTAAAAATAGACAGGTAACTACAAACGTACGTGAGATAAACATGTCCGTACAATACTACCCATAAATCGTAACTGGAAAATATGAGTTAATGTTGTTTTTGGAATCATCCAACAACTCATTTTAAAAATTAAAAACTGTACATAGATTTGCATCGAAGAATTTATGATGATGGTGACTTTAATCACCTATATCATTTATACTTAGCCCAATTATGCCATCTCCCTACTGTGATAGATTTTTTATTATTTTTTAGTAATTGAAGAAATTGAATAATATAAACTTATATATATATTTAACGATAAATGCGATGTTGTACTTTTAAGTACATGATAATTGTATAAATAGTATAATGTATATAATCATAAAGCATGTGTTATAGCGATGTTCTGAATATGGTTTAATATCGGATTTATACTTTATAGTTAAAATTAAACTACAGCTGGGACGAGTACTTTAATTTCAACTGAACAAATACGCCATTATTTTGCTATAAGAAAGTACCGTGATTAAACACTTTACAAAATCTTTTGTAATTTTTTACAAAGTGTAACAAAAAATGAGTTTTCGTTGAAGGATAATACAATTTTTTATACGGATTAGAGCAAAATTTTACTTAATTAAATTTAATTAATAAAATTAAACTTTAATTTACCTTAGCATTATCTCAATAAAAACAAAATTATTATGTAATTAAAATCCACCCTAAAATAGAAATTACAAATTATAATTCCTGTAATTTTGACTTAAATACATCAAAACTCAATTGATAGTCAAAAAATAAATAACAAAAAACGGTAGCACAGTGAGGTCGCGGCATAGTGGAGACATTGCATAGTAGGGTCCAGTATAGATTTAATCTGACAGTGATTAAAATCACTATCATAAGAAACGCTTCGATGCAAATCTGTAGATAGTGTTTAATTTTAAAAAATTGATGGATAANTTTAAATGATAACAAATGATAACAATTTTGTGATGTTATCAAAACCGGTTTTCGAAGTCGTCGCCGCCATCGGTTACACGTTTGCAACTGACTCCACTTGGTACGCTATTAAACAACGTAAATAATTTAAAAATCACAATAAAACTTGTCTCAAAAAAGCAACGATTCTGAAGGGGCGGCTGGTCGTATTTTCTTTAGACTATCCCTACCAAACAATNATAATAAATGATAACAATTTTGTGATGTTATCAAAACCGGTTTTCGAAGTCGTCGCCGCCATCGGTTGCGCGTTTGCAACTGACTCCGCTTGGTACGCTATTAAACAACGTAAATAATTTAAAAAACACAATAAAACTTGTCTCAAAAAAGCAACGATTCTGAAGGGGCGGCTGGTCGTATTTTCTTTAGACTATCCCTACCAAACAATAAACAGCTATTATCACGTATTTATCAGAAATTAAATGGGCATCACACAGTTATTTGGTACATAATTACTAGTATATCCTAATACTCCAATCCAAGGCTGACACGACTTACGTCGCAAAAATGTGGTCGACACTGGTTATGAGGGTAGAGACCCGTGGGCCGTTTATTAAATGAGCGACAACAGGTTATTTTAACAAAAAATAAAACAAACCGAAAAGATAAACACAATAATAAAAATCTTCGCATAATATCGCGGCACTTTCGCTGGCGTCGACGACGCAATGTCCGGCGTGATCTTTGGGCGACAAAAGGTTAGCAGCATTGTAGGCGACGGTGCGCGGGTGCAGATCGGTTGGTCGACGTTATCGCTTTCACAACGGGAAGAAGACTCCCGTATCATTTGCGGCGTGTCATCGTCGGCCGTGCGGCATTTGCTGGACTTTGCACCGCAGCGTATAACACGCGGTGTTGGTCAGTCAAATATTCATAGTAGGGCGACGGCTGATAAAGATGGCACGAGTCACGGGGCATCGTGTATAACAAAGCGACGCGGGCCGTGTCAAGGCTAAGCTCCTGAAAACTAAAATTTAAACTAATTAGTGATATTGTTTATAAACGATTTTTTTTTGTTATAAAAATATAAAATATAATTTATTTAATTCTGCAAGCTGACCTCCTACAATATTGTTACTGATTGTAGCGTTAATATAACCGCATGAATTTTGTGCTGACAAATTTCGAAGATGACACAACTTCATAATTTCGAAAACTCTCTGGTATAGAAAAAGATGAATTGGATATTCTATTAGCCCATGGAATAACAAACTATTAGATCCTTTAATTTATAACCAATAACAGAATATCGAAGAAAACTAACAACAGCAAGCTTTTCCTGTCATTTTTTAATATAAACCTAAGCAACGAACATCATTTAATGTTAATACCATTACCATTTTTATTATTGGGATTGATGCAACTTTTAAACAGAAGTTTTTTCTTAAACGGCTATTAATTTAATTAATTATTAGAAAATAGGAATTATTTCTGCATAAGAATAAATGTTAATATATTTATATCAAATAATATATATATAGTCTAAAAATAATTGTAAATAAGTATTAAGTAATTCAAACCTATGCATGCAATATTACATACATTAGTTTCTTCTGCATTTTCTAATTTTGAAACCTTAGTATTTTTATGTTTTAAGCAGATATGGCTTTTGTAATATAATATAGATTTTCATTTACGAATTAAATATTAAATCAAAACTAAATAAGAAAAGATAAGTTTAACTTTCAATTATCATATTGATTATTTTATTTAACTATTATAATAATATAATGTGTGAATTTTAAATTAGATGTCACAAAGAAATATCAGAATTATATCAATAAAAATCTCGTATAATTTGATTTATGAATAGTAAATATTTTCATATGATATAATTAAATTATACTTATCATAAAAAAATCATAGGATTCCATACTATTAAATGTTTTAAAATTCATTTTTTATAATTTTCTAACCTCTATTATTTTATTGTTCATTAATAATCTTAAACGTCAATACTGAAAATACTAAGATTCAAAAGTGTATCATTATGAAGTTAAATTAACTATTCAGTATTATTAGGTTAATAAATTTAATACTAATAATTCTATTAAATGTTAACATTTATTTAAAGTATATTTGTAATTACATCAAATTTCATTATTTATACTTTAGTTTATGTGTATGAATAGTATGCGCACTAATAAATAACTGAAAATCATCTAAAAATATTTATTGTTGATACGGTTAATAATATGGTGAATGGTTCATAATATATTGAATATTATTTATTTATTTATTATAAACACATAAGCATAATTTTAAACTAAAAATAACAATAAAAATATATATCAAAATACTATTTACAAGAATACGAATTTTCACATAATAGCACATTCGTCATGATAGCGAGTATAGTGCGAGAGACGTTTTTTTGCCACGTGTGTCAGATGTTCGCTGATACAGGGCTCATGGTTGGTATGATGACGAGCGGCGCGCGACTGTCACTGATCCTTGATTTGACGGTAACGATACGTCAAGGTTCGCTATAGTCTCTGCCGCGAGTGGTACCGACAGGCCGTTTGTGTTTGGACTAGAATGCGGGTTTGTGCGGGACGAGATTCCCCTGATGGCTACTCATATATGCACCATCCAATTTGTCACAGCACACAATGCGGATAAGGAACCTACTGAGACACTCCGCAACACACGCGTGTGGTCTTAAAAAACATAACTCACAGAAACCGGTTAAGGGGGTTTAGAGGCTGACGCTGCCCCGTGGTTAAGGGTTCTTGACTATATCGGTGACCTCGAATTCATAACGGTAGTGTAAACCGACGTCAACGTTGATGGTGTCAATAAATGGACGACGCGATCAGCGCAAGCATTGATGAACTAAGACTGCAGCGACATTGGCGATACGAACAGGTACCGGCAGAGATGATGAACGGTGATCATCAACGGCGGCGGCAATTTGCCTGAATAACAGCTTCAGTATTTAAGTCATTTATTTTGTTCAGTGAATATACAAAAGTGTGTTGAGAATTCGAATGCACTGACATCCTCTTTTGCTCAGCTTATTTTTTACTTACTCACGTCTGCTTCAATGTGGTAGAGTGAATTATTTTTATTTACTCTCATATTTTTTCTCTGTTTAGTCGGTGTCAACCAAATGGAGAACACGGAGGTCGCATTATCTCTGTTACATTGTGCATGTAATCTCGTATAATTATCGAAAAAGGTGGTCGGTACATTGCGAAACAAATGAGCGTAACGTATGTATATTTCGAATTAAAGGATACAAATAAACATTATGATTATACGAGTTTTTTTTTTTTTATTTAATTTTAGTGCCTATTACAACGCATTCCAAGATACATCGTATGCGAGAATACAACGTCGCCATTCATCCGCAGAGGGTAAAGGACATAGTAAGTTCACTGTTAAAGTTCCCATATGGTCACCCAACCAACGTAATAGCGCTACTAAACATCAGTCTTAAGTACTGAGGTCCACTTCCCCACATCACAACCTATTGTATAAGTAATATTAATACACTAAAAAAAGACTAAATATTGTTTTTTTTTCAAATCTCACTTATTGATTGGGTTGTTTTTTGATTACAGTTTGAATTTGATTGATAATCATAACAAAGATATTTACATAGCATTGGTTCACCTTGAAGAATATACTTATACAAAACAATTTTTATACTATCATTAAAATAAAAAATTATAATATAAGTTACAGAAATAAAATTATTTAAGGTGTGTTTCTTCATTTCTTCTATTTATTTTCTAAAGGAACTATAGTTACAAACTATTTAATGTTTTCTAGAATGATTGATAATATTTTGAAGTACATACTATCTAATAAGTTACCTATTTTAATGTACATTGAATTTATTATAATTAATTTGAATTAATAGCTATAATAGTAATTTAAATTATAAGATCTGTAACTATTATTGATTATTGTTCAATTTTTCTATTATCCAATCAATATAATGTGTTACTCTAGAGTATACGCCCGGAAAATTTGGTTCTGCACATTTTGAACCAAACGATACCACTCCAATTAAATAATGTTGATCTCCAAATGGTAATACTAAAGGTCCTCCTGAATCTCCCTATTAAAAAAAAATAAAACTATGTGATATTATCAATTCTATATATAAATCCATATATAGTTCTATACATATAATTACCTGACAAGCATCTTTAACTTCGTCTTTGTAACCAGCGCATAATGATCCTTCATTAATTTTTGCATTTTCGTGGGCGTAAGCCAGTTTACAACCATCATTGTCTATAACGGGTACTTGAACTTCCAACAGCGCTGTACTTGTAGGACCTCCTAAACAGGATTCGTAGTTACATTTTTTTTCAAAACAAATAATAATAAATCAAATAGAAAAATTTGGTTTAGAAAAGTATTTTCTGGTCTATGATCATTAAAAAATGTTTCATTTTTGTGATATGTTTTCACTGTAAATTTCAGCATAAAAACTAATTTTATACTTCTATTAATTAATTTAGTCTAAATTTCTAAAATTAAAGGATTTTTTCCCAATATTTGGTGATTATAAGTTCAACAAGATTAAAATCGTGTTCTTTGAAATATTAGTCATTAAAATTAGTAAAGTGATAGCTGAGAAAAATGGATGATAGACACGAAAGAAAAACCATTTAGTTAAATATTTTAATATGAATAAAAAATTCCATCTCGCAAGGGGATAGTACAATGATGGGGTACTTTATTCATTGAAGTTATTCAATGTAAATGACATAAAATTAAAACGAATTTTGAATTTATTGTTGACCCTCAAAAAAGAATTAAGAAAAAAATGTAAAACAATATTTATGACAGGCGGGGTTTGTACTCTGTACCCCAAATTTATAAAACTGTAATATTTTCGACGCAGCCACCATGCATTGCATTATTTTTAGCTAAAAAATTAAAAAATTCATGCTTTTTAACTATGGCATCCATTTGCACAAAAAAAATTGTTAATCAGGACAAATTTTTTTTTTTTAATTTCTAGTATGTAACAAGCTTTAATTTAAAATATGTTTAAAGGAATACTGCATTTTCGAACATTTTTAAAATTTAAATTGAAAAATTTTTATTTTTATTCAAAAGTTGCTGTTTTAAATCCTCCTCTGTCGGCAGGTAAAGGGTCAGATTTTCAAAAAAAATTATATCAAATAAAAATGAAATACTTAACGTTTTAGTATATAAACAAATTTTTTTGATTTGTTCATTTTTCAATAAGTTATGGAATTTTTAGAAAAAAATGTCGAAAATTACCGATTTTAAAAATCGTAATTTTTTTGGACATATTCACGGGTAACGGTTTCCACGGGTAACGAGGAAAAAAATTTCAATTTTTGAGAGAAATGTCTTCAACTAGATGCGATTTGTGATCTTTTGACGTATCGTTGAAAGAAATCCGTTAACAGACACAAAAAAAAAAAAAAACAGATCATAGTAAAACCAATACCTTCTCAGTTTCGCATCGAAGCTAAAGTATATTGACTGTCATTTTACTTAAACTAAAATTGTATTTGAACCATTCTATTCTTACTAACCATTGAAAAATTAGCGCAAATGTTTATATAAAAATTAATTAAGTTATGTAATTTACTTACTAAAAGACTTACTACCCCATCCAGCAACTTTAGGCATGTATTTTACAAAATTGTTAGTTCTCATTTCTGGTATTATTGGTAAACAAATTGGTTGAATAAGTCCTAAAAATGTTATTGTGTTATTATTGATATATTATTTACAATAAATACAGCACTAACTACTAAATTTAACCGGTCTATATAACTTCAACAATGCTATATCATTTGCGAAATCTAAACTGCTAAATTTTTCATGTATTATTACTCTTTCGACAGAAACGTCCACTGGACTTGCACCATCGTTAACCGTTGGATTTAAATCTAAATCTCCCAAACGTACAGTAGATCTAATGATACAAAATATATTCAAATATAAAAATACTTTGTTAAAATAAAGGTAGAAGTTAAATTATCATACAGACATTTTTCTTCGTCCTATGAACTTCTCTGACGCACAGTGAGCAGCGGTGACAATGTATCTATCAGAAATTAAACTACCACCACATCCCCAAAGAGGTAGACTTTTGGGTAAGCTAAGACTTGTGTAGCCTAAAGCAGCAATCCATGGCCAATCACCTAAAAACGGGAAATATAAAATTTTCTTTGTATACTTACAAATATTTACCAATTAACCTCAATAAAACTACCTAGTTCAGCAGGGCTACCACCAACAATTCTATCACTAATAGAAGCATTAATGCGGCCACACGTACTTTGTGGAAGTAACTCAATTGATAAAAAGGTTTGATTATTTATTGAACTTTTTAATATAGAAGAATTATTTTGAGTAGAAGATGTAAATGTTGCATCATCATTAAAAATTACTTTATGAACAATGTTTGAGCTCTTAGTTTGATGAAAATAATTTCCATCAAAATTTCCACCATCGTTTTTATTATAAGCATTCACAATATCATTACTTGGCATTTCAGAATTTATAGGACAACATACTTTTGGATTTTTACCTTCATATCCACAAGTTGAATTGCGAAGAAAATCCAATAATGTAGAATTGTTATTTTCGTTCAGTAGTATGTTTTTTATAAAAGAACAGTTATCTATGCTAATACAGTTGCCATTTTCATTATTAAGATTTACACAACCTGAAAAAATTATATTATTTATTATTTTATAGATAAATTTAAATATCAAATAAGACATTGAATACATTTTCATATGAAAACGAGATAAACTTAGAGTATTAAAATTCAATTTTCTTTTAAACTATTATAGAAATAGTAGAAGTAGTGATCTCTCGTTTAAATTTTCTTTTTTTTAGCTTCGATGCGAAGCTGAGAAGGTATTGGTTTTACTATGATGTGTTTTTTTTTTTTTTTTTTTTTTTTTTTT